CCCCTCTTCCAGTCCCTCTGGGCCGTGTTCACAATCCCCTTCCGATCCAGGGACGACAGGAGGATGGGAGCCTTGTCCAGGCCGAAGGAGTGCACCGCAAACCAGGCCACGTCAAAGGCCATGTCGTCTATGGATGACCAAGCCAAGACGCTGGGGTCAGTGCCACAGACAGAAGTACCAAGTACGGCTAACATGCCTGTAACCTGACTGTGGGCCAGCACGGCTCTACGTGCCTTGGGTCTCCCCGAATCCGCTCAACAACACCCCATGATGAAGGTACTGTCACACTTCCCACTCTGTGGCGGGACCAAATAACTGAGGTCACACAGCAAGGAGGTCACAGAGCACGTGGCCTAACCCAGTCTAGCTCCAGAATGTACCCTCTTCACCACGCCACTGCCACTGCCCAGCTGAAGGAGCACAGCCTCAAACTGTCTCCTCCAGGGAACACGGGATGGAAGGCTGGGGGTATGTGGTGACATCGAATGCTCTGTCTCCCAAAGAAAGCAGGGGCCTTTGGCATTTTAGGCAGAAGAACCCAAGACAGGAAGGACACGAAAGTCGTAAGGAATGACATGGGCATAAAGTGAATCGTACAAAATGGAGAGTGGTAAACAGTTTCGATTTTATTGTTCACTGTGATTTTTTTTTTCCCCCTGAAGTGCTTAAGTTCAAAACAAGAGGAAAAAAATGTCAAGCTGAGAAAATTGAACACAGTTTAACAGTCCCAGTGAGTAATGCTGCGGAATCGTAAAGTACTCTGCAAAATTAAGGTTCTAACAGCCTCACATAAATTAATATGGGCATAAGAGAAAGAAGGCTTTGGCACAAGTGGTAGTTCTCAAAGAACGTGGAAATAGAGTGCACATCCTAAACCTCTGACCTCTTCTTTTGACTGCTACCAAGTGATACCAACTGTGTCAGGTCTGAGAGTCACCCAGCAAGCAAGAAAGGACTGGGAGGCCACAAACACTGCTTTATCTTACATTCGCTTGACGGGGCTTTCTGTACACATGTTAAATAACATAATTTTTGTTAAACAAAAAGTAACATCCATTTAGTAAAAATACACTAATAACCTCAAAAAGCACATTATAAGGCAAATAAATTATATTCAGATTCTTACATATTAAAAAAAGAATATAAGCAAAACTAGAAGAATTTTTTTTTTTAGCCATGTCACATGGCTTGCGGGATCTTAGTTTCCCAAACCAGGGATTGAACCCTGCAGTGGAAACGTGGAGTCCTAACCACTGGACAGCCAGGGAATTCCCCAAAAGCAAGAATTTCTAAAAAGTTATTCAAATGATAATTCCTTTTCAACTCAGTCTAAAAATGTTAAGGGCCATGGGCAAATCTCAACTCTACATATGTGATGTCAGCCCTCTACTCTGATGCACCAAAATATCATTTTTTCCTCCCCATCGACCGGCCGTGGCCCTTGAACACAACATTTGATTGTTCCGAGGGTGAGGGTCATCTCTTGCAAGAAGACCAACACCCTGGGGGCAGAGGGAGTGCGGTCAACGTCCTTACACCCTCACAGTGCCCAGGCAGAGTGGGCCCCCAGATCACTCCCAGGTCCTCAGTGAAAACTAGCTCAGCGTTGCTGTCACCTGCAGGCGCCGGGTGGTTACTGAAGGCAAAGAGTCACAGCTGTGTCCCCATTACTTGTGTCCAGACTCTAACCCCAGTCCCGCTGTGCCGTACAGTGCGGTGGCCAGGCTGCAGGGTCAGGCTACCCGGGCTAGAATCCCAGCACTGGCTCTTGTTAGCCTAGTGACCTGGGTGAGTCACTTAAGTTCCCTGTGACTTAGTTTCCTTGTCTGGAAAAGGAAATTACAATAGCACCCATAGTTAGTTAGCTTTATAAAATGCTTAGAACGGCACCTGGAATATAGTAAGCACTCAATAATAGTTGGCCGCCATGAACATCCTTACCGCCACAGTTCAACATACACGGTCTGTACTAAGAGATGCTGTAACAGGAAGGGTACTGCCGCCTGCAGCAGATGCTCGTGGTGCTCTGCCCCAAACAGCTGGAGCGCTGGGCCCCCAGATGCTGCAGGTGCCGGCTGCTAAGCTCTCACACTGGTACCCTTCTCCAGAGGACTGGCCTTAGCTGACAGAAGCCACCTCCCGGAGAGCCACCCCCGGAGGTGAAGAAACACTACCCCTCCCCAGCCATTCACTGTGGATAATGATTGACAAATTGGGGTGGTGGGGATATAAAAGCCCAGACCCTTAGCTCAAGGAGGTCACACTCTGTGGTACAACCCATGTTCTGGAGCTCCTCACAGGGAGTTAGACTTGTTTTGAAGATCTTTGCCTGGCTTGCTTCCCTGCTCTATCCTGACTCCCTCACTCCCTCATCGTTTCCTCCTGAGGGCACATCTTCAATGAATCACTCGCACGCTTGTCTCAGGCTTTGCTTCTAGGGAACCTGACATAAGACACCACCTCTAAAGGGCCGTGGTCTCCCCCTGCCCCTCCCCCTGCCTTGGCACTCGGCCCACTTGGGCCACATGTCCTTTCCGGAAGAGAATTCCTTCACAGCCCACAGGATGCGAGAGGAAAAACGAAATTACGACCTGTGTTTAATTATTCAGAATCTTCCACCCATGCAGTCTAAGACTGCAAAGTTCTGGAAAATTGTGATCTGCAAGATAACAGCTACCTATAGCTTTTGCAATTACACTGGAGGAAAAGACTTATATTAAGGGCACAGTTGGTGACCCATCAATTTACTGAAAAAGAGCATTTAAATGATTTATTTTTGTATATCTCTATAAATGAGCTTTTAATTTTTTTTTTTTGCAGTACGCAGGCCTCTCACTGTTGTGGCCTCTCCCGTTGTGGAGCACAGGCTCTGGACGCTCAGGCTCAGTGGCCATGGCTCACGGGCCCAGCCGCTCCGCAGCATGTGGGATCTTCCCGGACCGGGGCACGAACCCGTGTCCCCTGCATCGGCAGGCGGACTCTCAACCACTGCGCCACCAGGGAAGCCCGAGCTTTTAAATTAAAAAAAAATATTTTTATTAGTGAGCTTTAAGGGTAAAAATGGTATTACATTATTCCAACTTTTGAAAAGGATCTCCCCGCCCACCGCCCCTTCCTGGCAGTCTCCACAGATGTGGTGGCTCAATCAAGACCTATAGGCTCCTCCTTCCTAAGCCCCGGGACAGAGCTGACCCCTCTGTTGTTTTGGATGGGCTTTTTTCTTTGCCTTTCCTTACATCTTCCACAAACTCGTCTCCTTTTTCCTACCTCTAAAGCTCAACCACATTCAAGTCCCCTATGAGAGTCAATTTCGGTATCAATCAGCTCGTCCAGGGGTCAGTAAACTACAGCCTGCAGGTCCAATCCAGCCTACCACCTGTTTTTGTAAATAAAGTTTCACTGGAACACAGCCAGGCCCATCTGTTTACATTGCTCTCTTCGGCTGCTTTCTCTCTACAATAGCAGAATACAGTAGTTGCTGTAGAGATCATCTGGCCCACAGCGCCAAAAATAGTTTCTACCTGGGCCCTTTACAGAAAAGGTTTGCTGACCCTGAACTAGCCGCACCTGAACCTTCAACTGGAGTCCCTGCAGTAGCCAGACCTCAGGGGGTGGTGGCCCGAGCCCCTCTCCTGTTGGTCACGCCAGATCCAATACAGCCCATCCTCACTTCGCTGACGGCCTGCCCTTAACACAGAATGTAGACCTCCTTCCAGTTTCCACCCCAGGGCCACACATCCCGTGGTCTCTGCACAGAACTTAGTGAACCCTGCACAATTTGGCCTTTTTGAGGCGCAGATCTGTGTGAGGCCATGGTTCTGCTTACGATGGGGTGGGCAGTACAAAGGCACCCAAGGTCAGAGCATGGGCATCCCCCAGGCGGTGAGTCAGGGTCTCCACAGGCTCTTTAGGAGAAGGCAGAGGTGGGTACAGTCCTGCTCAGCAACAGAGACACACCTACATGCATTTAATGTTCTTTCAAACCCTGAGGGTCTACGAGTGAGAAGAACAGCACCGGGTACTAAGGAGGCCAAGGAGAAAAAGCGTAAGGCTGCTGGCCCACAACTGTTAGGTATCCTGTTGGCAGTACTAGTGTTCTCTGCAAAGAAAAGATTTACAAAGATTTCCTAAGAATTTAAACTACAATAGCTCCCCGTGGTTACTTGCTCCTCATTTCCTCTGCTCTGTATTTCTTCAGAGTGTTAATCGCTATCTGATATTATATCACATGGTGATTTCTTTCTTGTTTCTCTCCTTAACTGGGCCGCAAGCTCTATGAGGGCAGACATGGTGCATTTTGATCACTCCTCTATTTCCAGCAACTAGAACAGCACCTGTGTATAGGAGTTCAATAAATAGCTGAATGAATGGATGAATGGATGAAAGACAAAAAGCGAGGGAGCCAGACTCTGCCAGTGGGTTGCAAACGAGATTGAACCAGCCCCCAAAGTGGCCACCAGATCACCCTGAGAACACATTCAAATGTCTGGCTGTGTTTCCAAATCGTCAAACAGATAGTTGCATCCATTCAACACCTCCTTATGAAACATCTACTAAATACTGCCGAGCTAGGCAGTTTGGGAATAAACAGCCAATCCAATCCCTGACCTCCACATCTGTGTAACATAGTGGGGATGACATGAGAAACACTTACAAAAAGAAGTACGGGGAAGGGGAAGTATGGAGAAAAGTACCTGGATCCAGGGCTGCTCCTTCAACAGTGATGATACAAAACAATTTGATGAGATCTCCCCGGATAACTGATGGCGCGTCCGAGTGCACAGAGGCATTAAATATAGGACCTGGAAGAAAGCAATGCCACTTCATGATCCTCTTTCACACTTCTGTTTAAATCCTGTTCTTGGTGTGCAAATCGGCATCTAAATGTGGGATCCCCTTCCTTGGAAATGAGCTAGAAATTCACAAAATAGGTATCCTAAGATTGCTTTCCTTCTATTCAGAGAGACACGTGCATTAAGTATATGAGCCTCATCTTAAGATTACAACCATGGTCTCATTTGAAGGCCACCCACCTCCCATCCTGGTACAGCCTGGGCTGTTTCTGGCTGCACATGGTTCGCTTCCAGGCCAGAGTGGCTCAGAGGCCGGAGGGTTCAGGACTAAATCAGGGACGCTTTTGGTCCCGAAAGAGTGAGCAGACTCATTGTATTGGGTGCTGGCGACGGGCCCTGCTATTAAGAGGCTGAAATCCAGTAATGCCAACAATGACGACATTTCTATAAAGCATGGTGGGAGCACTGAAGGCGATTCATTCCAATCTGCTGTGAGGAACTGAGGAAACGTGGAAACTCCTTTTAAAAACTACCCAGGGACTTCCCTGGTGGCGCAGTGGTTAAGAATCCACCTGCCAATGCAGGGGACACGGGTTTGAGCCCTGGCCTGGGAAGATCCCGCATGCTGCGGAGCAACTAAGCCCGTGCCACAACTAATGAGCCTGCGCTCTAGAGCCCGCGAGCCACCATTACTGAGTCCGCGTGCCACAACTACTGAAGCCCGCGAGCCTAGAGCCTGTGCTCTGCAACAAGAGAAGCCACCGCAATGAGAAGCCCGCGCATCGCAACGAAGAGTAGCTCCCGCTCGCTGCAACCAGAGAAAGCCCGGGCACAGCAACAAAGACCCAACGCAGCCAAAAATAAAAATAAAAAATAAATAAATTTACAAAAATAAATAAATAAAAATTAAAACTACTCAGATAGGATCTGTCTTGCATACCTTTCTGAGACTCTCCCTTGATACCCAGTTTAATTTTATAAAAGACCCCTTTCCTTCTTCCAAAGGCCAGAGGATGTTTCTACACAAACCATTCTGACTCCTCATTGTATCATCGACTCACTGCAAGGCAGAGTTGTTCCAAGTTTCTAAGTTGTAAGGCAATGAGCCTATGTATGAGCAAGAAAATGTGAACAATTAAGTAAAAAGAATTTAGGGCTAGAAGTTAATAATATTTACCATAGAGTCAGTTGGATGCATTTGACTGTAGGCGTAATTATTATTGTGCTATTTCATAACTAGGCACAAATAAATGACTTAATAAGTTAAAAAAAAAATAGGTATGCCTTGTATGCAAGAAATCTGCAGCTCCAATCCCCTCCTTAGGCAGAGAGAAGGGGTAGGAAATGCATTCTGTTTTTAACCCCTTTACAGCTCACTTTTAGGTGACGGTATTACATAGCTTTAGGCCAATCTGATCCTAAGAGCTTAATATTTACCATATGCCAATTCCTAATGTCTAGGAATAGGCAAACCTGAAGGAGATTCCAGAACACCAATGCTAGGGGATTTCCCTTGGGTTTTCTGGAAAGCAAAGATAGATGGCCCTGGACAATGATTCTGAAACTCACTAGAAGCTAAGAATACAGGTGTAACTACCTTTAAAATCAGATTACCAGAAAAGAAAAGGTACTTTTTGTTTTAACATCCAGAAGAAATGACTGTGAGAGAGTAAAAGGTCATATGAACCAATGAGGCAAAAAATTGAAAAGACTATACTTTCATTTCAACATGAGTAGTAAGATGAATTCATCAGATGGCTTTCTTAACACCGAGTCCATGAGTAATCTGTGTTTTGCTGAGAGAAGGGTGAAGGATGGTTGCAGAACATGGAAACCTTGAGACATTCGGCAGCCCTGGGCAGGTTCTGCTGAGTACTCAGATTCAGTCTAGGGCATGGAGAACGTAACAGAATGGCAGTCCCAGGACATGGGGAAAGGGATGAAAACAAAAAGGACAAGGAAACTTTACCTACTTCTAGACATCACATCCTTCAATTAACTCGGCTCAGCCATGGTTCCCTCAGGTCCTTACCACCCTGGATTTGCTCTGTTTATAGCAGTGAGGTGGGAAAGGATTAAGCCAGTTGCTCTGAGTTGGCTCAGTGGTAATGACTGGGGGGACTTCATGCCATATATGGTCATCCATGAGGACAGGTTAGTAGAGACCATGGTGAGCAATGGGGACTGAATTTTTTTTCTCTGACTAGAAATTTCACGGTTATAAATAGAACTATACTATGGGGCTTTCTTAAAGTATCCAGGCCCCTTCTAAGAGAACGCAAGATAATAAAACACAAGGAGATCCTCATAATGGATTTAGGTTCTTATTTACTTAATTTGAAACAGCAGAGAAATTTGGACATATTTCCTTTACCTTATTTGGACAAATTTCCTTACCTAATTTGGACAAATTTCACTTTCTTTTCTTTATATTTCCAAAAAAAATCCAAAATGCCTTCTAGGTCACAAGTTACTGTTCTCATTTCCCCTCATGGCCGTGGGAACAACAGAGCATTTGTGCCATGCTCACCATGCAGACAAGGACCAGGGAAAAGGCCTGCATTGTGAACTATTCACAGCAGTGGATTTCCTTCGAACGAAATAACAACTCACTGTTAATGTGGGTCATTATCCCAGGCTTAGAAATATTTTTATTATGGTCAATTTCTGTGGTAATGCTGTTTTCTTGAGGGGATGTGTCTGGTTAACTTCACAGATGACAGACTACAGCACAGATAATTTAAGTGCACAACCAGAGTCACTACATGTCCCTGGATTCCTAGTCTGCAGAGTACATGGACCACTTAGCTTTTAAACACAAACATTGACACAAACCATGCTCCAAGCTCCAACTCTCGCCCCTAAAACAAGGCTGTAAATGACAGTATTTTTGTGAAAGCCAAAACTACAGACTGTCTGCATGTCCGTCAATAGGATAATGATTAACCAAATTCTAGCAAGTGTAGTCATTAAAGTTGGTATTTACCTAGAATTTTTTATAACATGGAAAATGCTTATCTTATAATGGTGGGGGAGGGCAGAAAGCAGGTCATAAAATTGCATATACAGCCTGATTTCAAAGTTATGAAGAAAACGTGCAAGGGAAAAATTCTAGGAGGACGAATACCACCAATTAACAGTCTCTGGTAAGATTATGGGTGATTCTTCCTTGTATTTTACTGTATTTTCAAACTTCTCTGTTAAGGAGAAAAACTTTATTATTATTCTTTTAAAAGGCCAAAGACCTTCACATCATCACATTTAAATCATATTATTCCTCCTCATACTTTGAATCAGTAGAAGTTACAACTCAGTAGGACCCCTTGGGGAACACAGTCCGCATACCAAGAGGCAAGTGTCCTGAAAGCAGAGGACAGAAAGTGGACACCAGGAAGGATCTCTTTGTTACATGTGTTTTACCGTGTGCTGCTAATTTTTAGAAAGTAAAGGCTCTCAGTATCAAGTCAATGTTTTCTTGGAGCTATTCGGGGCTATGGCATTGTGCTGGGTGCTGGATTTGATAGCAACTCCTCTTAATTAAACTGTGAACTGGCTATGACAACTCCGTGGACTAAATAAAGCAAAAACCTGAGGCAGTCTATTCAACCTGTAAGCTACAGTGATTTCATCTGTTATGTTGAGATTTAAAGAACTGAGAAATAGATTCAATTCCCATTCCTCACCTAGAAATACATACAAAAGATTTTATGTCTCCCCTCTTTCTAAAAACAGTTTTAAAGAAACATCAAATAACAAATGTAAAACAAATTGGAATAAAATCCTATAGGCAATAAAACAGATACACAAATAAAAGGCAAAAACCACACATAATCATCTGAATCTCAATAGTCACAGAAAAAGCGTTTGACAACACCCAACACTTCATCATGATAAAAACACTCAACAGATTAGGAATGAAAGAAAACTTCCTCAACTCAATATTTGGTGTCTATGAAAAACTCACAGTGACCATGATACTTAAGGGTAAAAGATACTTAATGGGGAAAGTTCCCCCTAAGATCAGGAACAAGAAAAGGATGTCTACTTGTGCCACTACTATTCACCACTGTACTAGATTCTAGCCAGGGCAATTAGGCAAGAAAAATAATTAGAAGGCATTTAGTAAAACTGAATAGAAGAAATAAAACCATCTCTATTTGTATCAATAGATCAGATGATCCTATATTTAAAAAGCCTAAGTAGGCCGGGGGAAGATGGTGGAAGGGAAAGACGCGGAGCTCCCCTTCCTCCCCACAGATACATCAGAAATACATCTACAGGTGGAACAACTCCTACAGAACACCCACTGAACGCTGGCAGAAGACCTCAGACATCCCAAAAGGCAAGAAACTCCCCACGTACCTGGGTAGGGCAAAAGAAAAAAGAATAAACAGAGACAAAAAAATAGGGATGGGACCTGTACCAGTGGGAGGGAACTGTGAAGGAGGAAAGGTTTCCACACACTAGAAGCCTCTTCGTGGGCGGAGACTGTGGGTGGCGGAGATGGGGAGCTTCGGGGCCGCGGGGGAGAGCACAGCAACAGGGGTGCGGAGGGCAAAGCGGAGAGATTCCGGCACAGAGGATCAGGGCCGACCGGCACTCACCAGCCCAAGAGGCTTGTCTGCTCACCCGCCGGGGCGGGCGGGGCTGCGAGCTGAGGCTTGGGCTTCGGTCGGAGCGCCGGGAGAGAACTGGGGCTGGCGGCGTGAGCACAGCCTGCAGGGGGTTAGTGCACCACGGCTTGCCGGGAGGGAGTCCGGGGAAAAGTCTGGAGCTGACGAAGAGACAAGAGACTTTTTCTTCCCTCTTTGTTTCCTGGTGCGCGAGGAGAAGGGATTCAGAGCGCTGCTTAAAGGAGCTCCAGAGACGGGCGCGAGCCGCGGCTAACAGCACGGACCCTAGAGACGGGCATGAGACGCTAAGGCTGCTGCTGCCGCCACCAAGAAGCCTGTGTGCGAGCACAGGTCACTATCCACACCTCCCTTCTGGGGAGCCTGTGCAGCCCGCCA